TGGCGGGTGACAGCAGCGACCCTGCACAACATCCCTGCAGCACCACGCCGGAGCCTTCTGGTCGGGGAGGGGGGGGTTCCCCTCTATTATTTTTTTTCTCTCCTTCCTTTCTAAAAGCCCCGTAATTACCTGGCTATTAATTGTAACCCGCTTTCCAAGGAAACAGGTCCTAGCTCCCTGACTTGCCTAACAGACAAAGCAAATATGTTCGCCTTTGTTGTCCCTTCCTTTTTGAAGTACAAGTTGCAATAAAACATATTAGAAGTTTTGCATCAGGCTTTTACGTGCCCACCAGGGTACCTTTCTTTTTTAGCAACTTCATGGAAATGCTTGACAACTCGGCTCAATCAATCAAAAGGGAAAAGGCAGCTCTGTGCATAAACCAGAAAATTGCTTCAGTTTTTAAATAGCTGCCGTCGAAGCTGCCTGGGTAATCTCTGGGAAGGCGAGGTGCAGAGCCGGAGGGATGCAGAGCGGGGCGAGGAGCCCTCCGAGGCCATTAGGGCCGCCGAGAGCGGCGTGTTGAGGATTGTGTTTGCCATCTGCCATTGTATTATGAAGGGGCAAGTTTACGAGAGCTTTCCATATGTTGCCAAACAAATTGTCAAATAGGGGAGTTATTAAGAGTGCCGCAGTTTTATTATATGGAAGATGGAACATGTGTTTTGGGTTTGCGGGTTTTGTTTGGGTGGGGTTTTTTTGTTTGGAACGGGGGAAAAAAGGGAAATTAAATGGATTGGGGCGCCATTCAAAGACGAAAGGTTGGGGTTGAGGGTTTGTAGTGCCTCTCGGTCTCTGGTTATGTTCGGCATTAAAAAAACCCCGGGGTTTCCCTTCTTTTCCACAGTCAGGAGAGGGAGGTGTGTGGCCAGGTCCTTTCAGCACTCGGATGCGCTCGCCTTGGTGCTCGGGGAGTTACAACGCGATGATGTTTGGGTCTCGGTTGCTGCCAGGGAAAGTGAGGATCTGTGCCACCGCAGCACAGCTCTTGCCGTAGATTTGCTGCCCGGGCGCTGGAGCCAGCCTTGCTCCGGCAGAGAGCCACTCCAGCGGCCGCTTCGTCCCCGCAACCGGCCGAGGCTGAAACTCTTTAATGAGCAAGGTGAAGCTCTCCTGGATGCTGCCCCAGGACGAACCATCGCCTCGGGCAGAGCCAGGCAGGATGGAGCTCATCGGGGCTGTGCCCTGAGAGCGAGATCTCTCCTCGGTCGCGGCATGTTTGGTCCCGGCTGAGGCTGCCTGGGCTCAGCGGTTGTTGGTATGTGGGTCTGGACTCGGAGGATCCCCTCTGAAGTGATAACGTGGGGCGAGGATGGGCCAGGGAGCACGGGCTTCCCCGGCTGCCAGGAGGAGGCAGAGGGAGGAGAGGGCTGGCTGGGAAAATAAATCACCTGGGGCTCGTGGCTCGCAATCGGTGGGTATTTGGGTCTGAAAGATGCGTTTATACCTCCCAGGTGAGATGGGTGTGACCGGTGGGACGGGGAGAGCCTGTCAGAGGGCACTGCCCCCCAGCCCCACGCTGCTGAGTGCGGCCCATCAGGGTAAACAGCACTCAGCATTAATTGCTTGGCTTTAATTAACTAAGATGAAACCTCCTCTGCCAACATCCACGAGGGTGCCGGGATGAGGACAAGGGGACAGGTGCTGATGGGAGTGTGGTCTGACCCCAGGTGGGGTTGAGGTCTGTCCCCTAGCCCTCGGTCTCCCTTAGCATTATTCAGGGGGCTTTGGGGGGTTGGGAGGCACCTGCAGCTCCATCCGTCCAAGGGATGGGACAAGGAGAGGCGTCTTCTCGCTCTTTCCTGGAGAAGCCAGGTGATCCCGAGCACTTGCACCCAGCAGGCAGCGTTTTGCCCTTCCAGCAAGCCCGCGCTTGTGTTTTTGAAGCCCGTGTGAAGCGTAGACGTGCTCTGCCTGCTCTCCCCCAAGGTCTGTGGGCAGGAGAGCACCCTGTGCCCACCAGCCCTGCAGAGGGGCCTGGCTCAAGGAGGCAAAGGCTGCCCAGTGCCCACTTCCAAAGCCTGGGATGGAGGTCCTGGGGGGGTACCACACCAGAAGCGTGCTTTGGGACCAGCGAACCATGATGAGCCCCAGGGCTGAGTTACTCCTAAGGCTGCAGAGGGGCTAACTCAGGACCTTGCTGCCATCTCAGGTGATGGATTGAGGATGGTGATTTAACAAGCACAAATGTTTCCTTCCCCTCTTCCCGGCAAACAAGGAGCCTCTGCTCAGCTCCTGCTCCTCTCCTCCTGGCCAAGCCTGAGGTCCCTGCTGTGGTGACACTGAAATGGCAGAGCCGCCTGCCCTTGTATAGGCTGTATGAACATGCCAAGGCGCGGTGGGAAGCCATCCTGCAGCCAGGACACCGCGGCTCGGCTTGCCAGCAGGGTGGGCGACGTCCCCGCTGGCTCTGGTTGTTAGCTCGCCGCTGTCGCCTCTCCCGCTAATTCCCCCACGTATTCACCTCGTCTTCACAGGCAATTTCCCCCATTGAAATGTCAGCAGATAATTGAGCGCGCTGGTGACCTTGTTAGGGAGCTGGGCTCGGCACTGTGCTGCACCGGGGAGGCAGCCAGTGCGGGGCCGTACGTCCCCGGGCATGGCACGCTCAGGATGCCTGGGCTCAGGGGAATGCCTGCCGTGTGTCTGCATCACCATGTGTTTGCATGAGGCTGTGGGGAAGTGCGTGCTGTCCCCTCGCGGCAGAGCATCAGTCCTGTTTAGGCTGGAGACCATCCTGTGGTTTTGGGGATTTCTGTCCCCGTGTCACCTCCCCTTGATGAGGAGCTAAGCCGGGGGAATGCGCCATCCTGGACCTGGACCTAGAAAAAGCACACAACGTCCATGCTGACGTCTCCATCGCTTGGGTTCATGGGATGCTCTGGGGCTCCGTCTCAGCTCGTGGCAGGGCTGGGGCGGCCTGTTTCCCTCCTG